TATTATTTATTCGTTAATAAAATCTAAAATTAATTAAATTAAATCTACCGTTCTATTTTATAAATTACTTTTCATTCTAATCAGGATGAAAAGATTTTTAATTTCGAAAAGAAAATCACCAGAGTCTCTTGGACCACGTACAAGTGTCGAAAATGTGGTTCCTGGTCCATCTTCAGAAGATACATCTTCCAGTAGAGGAGAATCTTGTCCAGAGCCAAGTACAAGAAATCAAAATCTAGACGTTGAATATCTAGAGCCTTCCAATACTTCATTTACGGTTCTACATTCAAAAATATAAGCCCGAATGGGAACAGCTGGACAATTTTAAATATTGGATAGAAAGAAGCGAGCGTGGTAACAATTATTTTAGATGTAAGATTTGTTCTAGTGATTATTTAGGTGCTATTAAAAAACATAATGATTCAAATAAACATAAACAAGCAGCTGCATCTGTAAAAAATCAACCTACTACTAAAAATTTTGAAGCAGTGTGTACGGAAATTTAATATCAGCAACTGATTTATTTTTAAATTACGTTTTTAAATTAGAAGAATTATTTTATGATTTATACCCGAATGTAATATACAGGGTGTATCTGAACGACTGCAACAAACTTCAAGGGGTGATTCTTTAGTGAATTTTAAGGGTACTTTGATATATGAACCATGGGCGACTTCGGCCCCCTAAGGAGCTACACCCCTCCAAAAATGGCGGAAAATTTTGGTTTAATTTCTTTTTCTCAAAAACCATAAACGCTAGGAATATGAAATTTGGGGAATATGTTTAACTCATAATAGGGCACGTTTTGACCCTATTTGTACTTTCAACCTACCCTTCTAAACTACTAAATGTAACCAGCCCCTTTACATTTTTGCTAAAATTTTGTTTATGCAGATGATAAATACATTTGAAAAAAATTTTACATAGGTCCAAAAACGACTAATTTTTGAGAAAAAAAAAAAATAAAGCAAACACTGCCCGTTAAACAATGGGGTTGTCGATCAAAAGTTGGAATGAATTTTTAATGAAAAAATCTTGGTAGGCTTTGCAATCAGAAATATTTTTGACGTTTAAATGTCAGTATTTTCGTACTATTATTATTGTTTTTCAAATTTCATTTTCCTAGCGTTTATAGTTTTTCTCTAAAATTCCAGAACAGAAATATTAAAAAAAAATTTGTAAATACTCCTAGTATTAAATTTAAAATTGTAAATAATATGTAAATAAATTAAATATTTTTATATGATCTACAGTTTATTTAATATCCACTATAAAAAATCTAGCATATTAATACGTTTAAAATTGATATTGTTACTTAACAATACTAATACTTATGTATTAAATGTTATGTTTTGTTCGAAATTTTAAATTTATTGTCGGTGATTTAATTCCGGAAAGTAACGAATATTGGCAATTTTATTTATTATTGCTACAAATTACAGATATACTTACCAACACAGTGATAAGTAAATCTGCCATAAAATTATTACAAAATGTAATTCAGGAGCATCACACTAAATATCTTAATCTTTTTGATACAAGTTTAAAACCTAAACATCATTTTATGTTGCATTACTCTAGAATAATCTCTTTCACTACTGTCTTGTATCCGTTTTGAAGGAAAACATAAACATTTAAAATCTACATCATTGTATTTACGTTGCAAGAAAAATGTACCATATTCTTTGGCAGTGAGAGCACAACATAAATGTTGCTACAGATTTATGTGTCAACAGGGGTTAAATGGTGTTGTAGAACATGGAAAAGTATATGATATAGATCTTACTACTATTGATTCTTTAGTGAACTTTGATATTGAACTTAAAAATTATGTTTGCACCTCCTGGTACAAAATAAATGGTTTTTATTATGATTATAATAGTATTATTTTGTATGAAAACAAAATTGATTTGCCAGAATTTTGCAAAGTTGATAAAATTCTACTAAGTAAACTCGATTCATCCGTTTTAATTTTATTTCAAAAATTACGTACTGATAGTTACAGTAATCATTATAAGGCGTACATTGTTCACTTACAACATTCATATCATGTTGTTAAACTATTAGACATTGTTAGAAATCCACCCACTGTGACTCACATATTAAAAGACAACAAAATGTATGTATCAGATGTATCTACAAGCTAATTCAAAAGTAGTGTTCCAAACGAAAACCTCTTGTGGACAAAGTCATTTTAAAGCGAATTGAAAGAATACATTTTTTTCTCATCCACCTTTAGATATTCGCTCCTAACATATACGAAATAATGTTCCGACAAGCGAAAAAATCGTTCAAAAAGTCAAATTGAATGGTTGTCATAGTTTCATTTGTTTTAGGACTTTTTTAACCAAACTTTAGGTTTGTAATAATAGAGTTTTTGGGAGCGAATAAAATGAAAACTGAGGTCGAACAGAAAAAAAATTGTAAGTATTTTTTCATTTTGTTTTAAAATCACTTTCCACATGGGGTTTTCGTTTGGGATGCTACTTTTGAATGACCTGTATTTAGTTTTTTAATAAGAATAATTTATTTTTAGTTTAAATATTTTTTAAAGTTATGATAGAGTTTTAATATGTATAAACACTATATATTTTTTTAATGTTCAATATTTCTTATTGTTATTAATAAAACATTTTATTTGAGTTTTGTAAATTTTGTGCTTTAAATAATTCCTTATTTACTCCTAATTTAAATAAACAAATCTCTTTCATTTAAATGTAACGTTTATTTGAAATTATTTCAATACTACACTTGATTCAAGAATTATAAATTCTCAAATTTAAACTATTGACTACTCAAATTAACTCAGTTGTTTTTATTAATATCAAGTTATGGCAATATTACATTAGAAGAGAGTGAGCATAAGCTTGTATAACATTCGAATATATGACTTATATATATATTCTTGAATTAAGGATAGAAACTGCACTAAATTCCAACGTCGATTTAAAAGGCCTGGTTTACAAGGGCTTAGGATGAAACCGTCGTCGAACATAAATGACGAATCGTGTTGGGTTGAATAGGATCTTTGTTGTTGCTCCCGCTCCGTTTCAACTTTGAATGATTCTTGTTTTGTACGCGTCAAAAACGAAGATCTAACGACAAACGTCTCTGAAAACAGAAAAACCTAAAAGAAAAAAATTAAGTAATTTTTAAGAAATGTTTCATTAAAACGACAGGAACTTCGGGAATACCTTTTCGACGTTTGTTGTAGTTTATCAAGAATTTCAAACGGTAACATTCGTCGAACGAGCATTTATCGGTCATCCAATACATCAAGATAAAAGCCCATCGTCTGCCCATCTTATGTTGTCTTCTAACTTTTTCCAATGTTGGGTTGGTTTCACCGATGTACCGTCTTGTAATAAATCTAACAACCATGGCTAAAAATAAATTAAATTAAAAAGTAAGGATTGATTTAAAAAATTTAAACCTGATTTTCCAACTCCGGCTTGTCCTAAAACAATAACTTTTAAAATTTTTGGTCGGCGATAAAATCCTAATTTAACGAAAGAAGATGTAGGTGATATTGCATTCATGTTGATTGAATCTAAAATTAAACAAAATGATTTTAATTCGTTTTAACGTAAATCACGTCGATCAAGGCGAAACATGTTCTGGTTCGGGTTTTCAAGCAGGAGAAAAAATGGAAGAGATTACTAGATTACGATACCAAAAAAAAATAATAAAAAGGGACAAAATAAATATCTCTCGATTTTTTTTGTTTGAGTATTAGTGATGCTTTTCACAAAAATGAATTCCCAAAAAAAAATTGTAATCGGATCTAGTTTTTCAGTCTTTCTTCTTCGAAATGTAAACGTCGATTTGATGGATTTTCGATTTTGCGCGTTTAATTTTCAACACGACTTAGACATCCCATCGATACTAGACAAAAAAGCTAATTTTAAGCTGGCTTCCTGAAAAGTCATATGATACGATCAAAACGTGAGTTACCGAATGAACATTTGTTCCCGATAGTATTACGCATTCATGTGAATTAACGACAGACGTGACAAACATTTCTTCACATGCTGTAACAGGACACTTGAGGAATTTCGGGGTTTCCTCCTCCGGAAACATTTGGTCGAAGGTAAGTACAGGAAATTTGGGTTATGTTGAGATTAATTAATTCTAATATTCTAATAAATCCATAATTACTGAGGTGTACATGTTAATGTAGGGTGAAAATTAAATGACCTCTTCCTCAGTTTTTAATTAGATCATCAGCTAAATCTACAAGCGAGGATTATAATTAAAAATCTTAAATCTCAAAATCCCTTAAAATCTCCAAGTTAGAATTAAAGAAAAATGTAAAATAGAAAGTGTTTAAACCTACCTCAAGATGGTATGAGGTTTTAACCAGTAAAATGATTTAATCTTTGTAAAAGAAATATGCTACAAATCCGGTAAAACCGTAACCGTTGAACAATTTCCAAACGAAAAGTTAATAGATTTATTAACTTAGATCCCGATAAATACGGATATAAATCGATCCAAAATTCTACACAAGAAGAATTTCAAAATGTCGAAAATAACTCAGGATAAAAAAAGGTGACCGAACTCGTTATTTACTGGAAAACGCGGAAGCTAGCACCAGCACATCAGCTAAAAAATTAAAAAGAAGCGAAATCGTTGATTTTGATGTGAATGCATGTTTCGGGTATCGATTAATTAATTTTGTAGCTGTTTTTTGCGCTATAAGTGAAGTGGTAAAGTAAGTAAAGTGTGATATAAACTTGACCGAAACTCTCTTCGTGGTCTTGGTTTTAAACTAAAGGTGAATGTGCTAAGTGTGAACCGGTTTTAATAAACTCATGTCCTCTTATGTGTGGTAGAGCATACGATGTGAACAGACGATTAGTTTTTGCGTTCAGACTTCTTGGAATCGGTTTAGCAGGAGTAGAGAAATTCTGTGGAATTATGGACTTACCTAAACCAATTTTCCAATCATTTTACGATAAAGTTGTGAATGACATTCACATTGCTACCAAAAATGTTTGTGAATTATCCACGAAAGATGCTGTTCAAGAGGCAAAAGAGTTAGGAAAAACAGCCGAGCTCACCGTTTCAGGGGATGGTGCTTGGATGAAACGCGGCTACTCATCCCTTTTAGGCGTTTCTACTCTTATATCGTTTCACACAGGAAAAGTTCTCGATCTTATAGCAAAATGTTCATACTATGACGCCAAATGCGTTAAAAGATTTTAAATCAAAACAAAAAAATAACGTAATTTTCAACAAGGACAAAACTAGTTTTTTCACCCTGAGATGTACGCGAGTCCTCGACCGGCTCAGTGAAGAAGGGAGGGGTATTTATATGGCGCCACACAGTTAACCCCGCGTACAACACGAACTGTGACGTGAGATGATGGAGTATGGTGATATAAACAAATAACACAACAAAACATAAACGCTCAACAAAATAGGTTTTGAGTTGCAGACAAAATTTATTAAAACTCCCGTAAATAACAGGTAAGTAAAAAAAAAAAACTAATAACAAAACTATAAAACGGTAAACTTTTAGGTTCAAACAACAAAAAAAAACTATATTGATGTTTGCGAGCTTTAAAAAAAAGAAAGTCAAAACTGAAAGGAAATTTAAATCAAAATACCAAAAAAATGAAAATGAAAAATTAACCCGCGTCTGACTCCGTATGGTTGAGCTCAACGTGAAATCAAAAATTATAAAAAAAAAATCAACGCCAAAAATAGAATTAAAAAAAAAATCGCNAAACACTTTTCCAAAACTTTATTTCGAGTGATGAATCCCACAAATATGGATTAGAAACAAAATTTTACACCCAAAACCAAAAATGGCGAACCAACCAAAATTTCTTTAACACTCGAGAACACGTATTGCTCTGGTAATATAGTAAGAAAGAGAGGCTCAAGAAGAAACTTGAACGGTCTTTTATACCCAAAGATCGAAAATATCAAAAAAAATTACGTCTGCGCAAGATAACATCATGAATTTACGACACCCTCTCAAAAGCAAAAAGGAGAATTTTAAAGTGATAGGAGTTAAAAGGAAAAAAAGGAATACTCAGAATATGTTGCTGAAAGAGAAAACAATAAAATGTTATAAACAAACAAAATGTAAACAAAATAAATAAAAATAATAAAAAGTTTCCGAATGTATGCAACTCATAACCCATTACACATAAACAAGTCACCCACACATAACATACAAATTTTCGGAATGTAACAATACTGCAAAGCTTTCTGGAAGTTTTTGGAAACATTTTGAATGTACTGAGGAGTATGATGAATGGAGCAATGAACACCCAGAAAAATGTTCTGTCAATCACAAAGGATCGGCTGGAAAAATGGAAGTGATAGTATTGTAGAAATTCAAAAGATCCGAAACTTTATGTAATGTACGATATGATAATTATGTGGGCGATGGAGGCAGTAAGACCTATAAAGGAATTGTTGACTGTAATCCATATACAAATTTAATTGATACAAAAAAGGAATGCATAGGCCACGTGCAAAAGCGAATGGGTACGCACTTGCGCAAAGTAAAAAAAGATAATCCTGGTATAGGTGGCAGAGGGAAATTGACAGCCATTAGAGGAAGTATTAACACATCAGGTGAAACATCCTGATGTGTTATTAAAACGCGATATTGGCAACGTATTACCATAAAATATCTACCGATGAAAAGGCACAGCATGACATGTGTCCATTCGGTGAAGATAGCTGGTGTTCATATAAGAACGCGAACGCCTTTGGATCTTTGGAGTCGTATCAACACAAAAATTCAATTCCTGTAGATGTTCAAGACGTAATTAAACCAGTGTATGATAAATTAACCGATAGCGATTTATTAGAACGCTGTTTGGAAGGATATAATCAAAATAACAACGAAAGCTTGAACGCTGTCATTTGGTCTATGGCTTCAAAAGTACACTACAGCGGCGCAAAAGTAGTTGAGACTGCATCTTATATTGCAGCTAGTATATTTAACGATGGATATACCAGAGTATTACAGATGATGAAGTTATCAAACCTTGTAATAGGTCCAAAGGCACTGCAATTGTCCGATAACTTGGATTCTCGACGGATATCCACAGGTAACATTAGAGCTCAACAGATAGACGATATAAATATATTTGAGGTAATAATATATTTTTTCTTACGTTGATACTAAATGTGAATTCGTTTTGAAGACGTGAATCCCCCTTTTCAGACTTGTTTCGACAACTTACAATAACCAATTATTTTTTGATTTTTAAATTTTTTATTGTTGTTCTAAAAAATACACTATTTGTATTATACATTATGTATTAAAAACTAAATATCTCTGTGTCCCACCCACACAGAGAGAGATATTTATATATATTATACATATATTTATATACCCTGCTCAAAAAAATTAGGGGAACACTTTTCGAAAACTGTAACTTTTTAAATAGTAGTTCTAGACAAATCAAATTTGGTTTACTTCTGTCCGTGTTAAACGTAAAACACATCGAGAACAATTTGAATCGGCAAAGTTTGAGTTATTTTAGATTGTTGTATGTTTTTTAATTCTTATTGTGTAATTTAAAACCACTAACGCAAGAATTACTGACTGAAACTTCCAAAAACTTTAATTTTCAAAGAGTAAAGTGTCCTTTATAGAGTTGTTCTAGTGAAAATAATAGCTGTTCCAGATTGCGTTAGCTACAATAAGTATATATTTGAAATATGGAATTGACAATAGAAGAACTATGGTCACAGCAATCAACTAGACATTTCGGCGGCCAAACCTATTTTTAGTTATAACTTCATAACGCTGTATCCCATAATTTTGATTTTCTAGNACTTACTACCTGCTATTGGACGACTTTAAACAGTTCCCGTATCCTTCTACCGTATAATGCTCTGATCCGGAAGATACGGGACACCTGTATATAATCTACATTACAGTTATACAAAACCTAGCAAACTTGTCATTACAGTCGCACATGTTAAATAGAGCTTATAATATACTGATTCAAGTGAAACGGTAAAAATTAAATACAGTGCGGACGTGTCTGTAACTTTTTATCGTTTATAACAGTGGTGTCCACTAATTTTTGATCAACATCGACTTTTTATATAATTGTCTTGCCAAGATCGACCGAAGGGTTTAAAATCTTTTTTTACATTTTAAAAGTAACCTTCCTTTTTCTTTTTTTGCTCTGAGGCCCAGATATTATAGACAGACGTTATAGACACCACTGGTTTATAATAATAAGTTTATTCTAACCAGCCACAAAAACTATTTAAAAACGGTTTTTATCGTATGTTGGGACAAGACTATCATACCGCACTAGAACGGTTATTGTAATGCTGTAGAAATGACTTACCCACAACAGATAATAAAATAAATAATATTTAAATCACCTTACAGAGAATGATATTGATTGGGAGCTTTTTGTAAAATTAACACCTGATGAATTAAAGGAAGTAGTACCTTCAGTGGGAATGCGGGCTAAATTAAAAAGAATCCTGAACTCATTCTTTCAATATTTCATTTTTATTTTATAATAGGTACTAAATATTTTCAAAC